TTCTTGTTTGTATACTTGGTTAGCCTATACATGGGTTTTTAATCGTTTGTAATTTTAGTATTTATTATTTAATGTGTTTCTTTGGTATTATTGTACATTTATTTTATAGTTTATACATGACTAACATATGATATTATATCTGTCTCTTATACCACAAGCTACAGGTACCGGCAAATATGCCTTTCAAGTAGTGTATTTGTGTTAACAGTATCAAAAAAAGTGATAATTATTTTTATGTGAAATGACTCAAATGTTTAATTTCTGACTTGTTTTACTGTGTAAAAATTACGCAATTATATGCAATCTTTAAATATATTACCCACTTGTCATTTTTTGAATCTTATCAACAGAAAAATGTTTCACGGTGATTAAACTAAATACTGTTCATTCTAACTATACCTAGCCGTGACTACTGGAAAGAAAACACTGGATCCGACATCAAATTGGTTGTCATATTTTTTTTTTTCACTGCATGATTTTTTCTTTAGTATGATTTTATTTTGTATATCATAGTATGCGAAGACGCCCACTAAACCAATAATATATGTCATTGTGACGTAGACAAGCAATAATTATACAGTTGTATATCTAATACATCAAGTTAAGAAATTTACCGGTACGTATTACGGAGGAGATACAACAGGAGAGCATCAAGCACAGAAAATATTACCAGAAGAATCGGATTGGCATCAGGAGTTATGAGGAATCTAAACTCAGTCTGGGGTCCCAGAATATATCAACCCCAACAATAATAAACCCCAAAAATATAACTATAGAGTTCCCGTGCTCGCAATAGCTATGTACGGAAGTGAATCTTGGACTGGAAATGTTTGAGATGGCATGCCTACGAAAAATTATAGGAGTCACTAAGAGAGATTGTCTGCGAAACACCTATATCAGAGATTTTACTGACTGCCAATTAACCATCACACAAAAAAATTAAAAATGTAACAACTGTCATATTTGGCCACATAACTTAAATGAAAGATGGGAAAATATCCCAAAATCACACTAAATGGCAGAATCCATGGAAACAGACCTAGGGGAAGTCCACCAAAAAGATGGACTGACAACATTAAATCCAGGACACTGTCTTGGTATTAACATCATTGGAACACTACATAGGAAAGCTCTAGATAGACCAGAGTGGAAAACATCATGAAAAGACTGTCATCTTCAAGATAATCCTAGGAGGACGACATTATGTTGAAGTCAGTTGATATCTAATACCTTTGGCATGATTTAATACATATATTATCAATAAATAACATTTGGCCATAGGTACTTTCTTTTAATTTGAATCTGTTGATAAAAGATTATGACGGTGCCTTTCAATACCCAGTACAGCAAGCCCAAAACGTCGTGGTTAGGTTAATAATAATAATAATAATAATCATGAGCAAGTCTTCAGCGTTAGGTTAGTCAGAGATCTCGTTTTAAATATGCATTATGTTCTCAGAAAATTAGTTTGGTTACAAACTACAACATTTATAGCGTTATTTTTTTTTTACTTGAAATTTTTAGCTGGGATATAATTATTGATACTTACATAAAAAATATTCATGATGGCAGCATTATTTATTCATTCCCCACTACGTTGTAAATCTTAGTAGAAAATTCAGCGTTCAAACTAATCGATGTATATTAATTAAAGCGATGCGATTGAGACAAGACTTGGGCCACATGGCGGTGGTGTATTCAAAGTGCTGTTACCGGGGTAGCAATCAGCCAGGCAGTCAGTGTCTGTCAAGGTGTCAAGAGCTAGCAAGCTTCACCTTCATGTCATCTTTTGTTCTTTCGACAATCGTCGAACAATACAACTAGGAATTGTTCCATGGTGACCCTGGTTATTTCGAAGACCAACTTAATGTTTACTGATAACACATTGTTATGTAATGCTTACTGGTCCTACCCAATTGTAATATAGAAGATCGATATGCGGGCCTGCATGGTGGGATTAAACTAATAAATTGTTTATGAGGAATCGATAATTTAAAATATGTGTCCGACACTCTAGACGGTGCTAATTTCCAATACGCCTCACCTTACAGTATTTCTTGTAATATCAAATCCTCTCTGACACGTTTTTGTATGCACTTTAAAACAAAATAAAGTCGGGTTTTCCTTGCAGTTACCGATTTAAAATACAGTTTCAAACTCCATTTGAAAGATTAGTCTGTTATAAAGATGTTCTGCAAGATCAAGTACCATACGGAGTCTGAACTAGAAACCTTTATCAGTTTCAATTTTAAAGTGGTAGGAACATTTGTAGCCTATTATCGTATGCTACATCGAGTGTTCGTATTAGTTGCTAGGATAACAATAACATTAGGCGAAGAATGCCTACTAAAAATACACTGATAACTTTCCCATTGTAATTATCACCAGTATTGTAGTGTAAAAGGCCTGTGTACACACGAAATTCAAGGAGTATATTTACATTAAAGAGTACCATGCACTGTACACAGTTTTTCATACGTAGATGCATGTCAAGTGACTAAACCAGAGGCGCCAGGTGGTGCATTGGGTTATGCCGTCGAGTGGGCGAATCCCTTCACTCTCAGACGGTGATTATATTTAAAATTTCAATAGCAACTGAGCACCCTTATTTTTTTACGATGTGTCTGCAGTCACGATATGTTCTAATGAAGTTTGCCCTTGTGGCTGCGATTTTTTTTTTATCCGTACGAAATATGTGCATAAAACTCCTTCACTCTGCCGTCTCGATTTACTCCTGGCTATGTTTTCAGCCCTGTTTTCGAGTAAAATACTCTCGTTGTCTGTCAAATGCTGTACACTCGGGCAAGAACATGCACATTAGTACAAGAAAACAGCAAACACCAATATGAAAAAAAGTTTTTAAATTTTTTGTAGTTTAATTCTTGATAATACAACTTGTGTCCATTGACGTTTAATTGCATTTGTCCCCGAGCCGGAAGCTGACAAGTTGTTTCTTGTAGCCTGTATTTGACTTATATTTAATATTACATTTAGCTGTCTCAAAATATGCACCTCCACCCCACAACAGAGCATTATTGTGTGTAATATAATTTATAAATGAAGTCATAGCATTATAAAATATCTATTTTAAAAATCATGAAAATTTAGTTCAGCTTTAAGTAAAACGCAAATGGTTCTTTTCATTTTCATTAGCAGACAAACTGAACGGAACTGAAATTAAAAAAAAGTTTATCCCAATAGGGTCTATAATGTAATTTAATGAAAAACACGGCACCACATTCAGGGACAGGGTGGGTATAAAAACGGATAGGAGGGCCGACGAGAATTTTTTATTTAATATGGAGGGACTTCAACGTTTTTTGGTGAAAATGTGACTCGTCAAGTCATAGGCGTAGATCCCGGGGGGATGGGGGATATCCCCCCAATATTTGACAAGGGGGATGGTCCATTGTATCATCCCCCCAATATTTTGACTATGTATGGGATAAAATGGAGCTTTACACACTTCAAAAGACTGTCACAGAAATAACTTGCACTGTCTTATGCGCTTACAAAGATGAAAATTAGCATAATGTATTAATGTTG